AATCACTACCAACTATACTTCAATAAAATTTTTAATACATTAAAAATAATAATAAATAAATAAATAAATAAATATAATAATAAATAAACAAACAGACCTAATGACCTCCGCCCTGCCCCAAATAAATTAATTTAATTTCAAAATTTAAAAATTAACTTAAAAAAAAGACACTTTGAGACAGTTTGGTAACTTCACATTGACAAAAGTTACACAGATTGAAAATATATAAGCAAATCTTTATTATCTTTGCTAATGAAAGAAAAAATGAAGCAGTTAATCCAAAGCAGGACTTCAGACACCAAGAATATTTGCCTTAGAAATGTTACAGGAGTTTTACACAGTGATCTGTTATGTGCTCAGGCCCCACTGACATGAGCTTGCACTCCCCAAGCACTCTGAGCAAGGTCAAGGGAAAGTATAACTCAGCACGTTCAGGGTGACAGGGGAGAGTCAGTGAGAAATGAATTAAACAAGGCGGATGAACCACAATATGATCAACCCTCTGTGTGTGTTTGTGTGCGTGTGTCTGTGTAGGTGGGTGGGCGAGATGTGTGTGAAGGCGTGTGAGTGCGTGCACGTGTGTGTGTACCTGTGTATGCTTATCCAGAGCTCACTGCATTTACATTTCCCTTAGGTACAAAGCCAAGTGTTTGATAATCGCTGTTAAAAAAATAAATGAAAACCCTTTCACATGGAACTTTTTCAGTTATTTCATTTTATTTATCAATACTTACATATCATTTAGTATGTGACAAGTTTTGTTCTAAGCCAGGAGCCCCCACAGGCCAAAACCAAGCTGCTGCCTGTTTTTGTTGGTAAAGTTTTATTGGAACACAGTCACGCACTGTGAAATAATAGAAAATATATATATTGGTTTTCAGCCTCTTGTTCCCGGCACAGGGCTCCTAAACCCTTGTGATTGTCTAGTGATAAGAGCACCAGGAGCATCTTTTGTTCTAATATTTGGTCTTTGACACCATCTCTGACACGGGGCTCCTAAAGCCTTTGTAAATTCCTACGTGACAAGAGCTCCAGAAGCATCCTATGTTCTAATGAGACGGTGGCTCCTGGATGGGGGCTGGTCCCAAGAAAGACCAAGCTTGGAATTTTCAGCTCTGCTTCCCCTCTTTCTCAGAGAGCAGAGAGGGGCTGGAAATGGAGTTGATAACTGATTATGCCTAAATGAGGAAGCCTCCATAAAAATCCCAATAGCATGGGTTTGGGGACTTTCAGATTGGTGAACAAGTGTTGCAGGGCAGAGTGGTGAGCAGGAGAGAACATGGAAGCTCTGAGCCCCTTCCCACATACCTTGCCCTGCACATCTCTTCTGTCTGGGTGTTCGTCTGTATCCTTTCTCATATCCTTTTGTAATAAACTGGTAAATATTAAGCAAACCGTTTTTCTGAGTTCTGCAAGCTCAAATCTGAGCCACACTGGCCAATTAACCAAACCTGAGGAGGAGGTCATGGAAACTTCAGATTTATAGCCGATCAGTCAGAAACACAGGTGACAACCAGGACTTGTGATTGGCACCTGAGCCTTGTGGGACTGAGCCCTTAGCCTGCGGGATATGACGTGTTTTCAGGTAGATGTCAGAATAAAATGTAGGACGCTCAGCTTTTGCCATAAAGAGTTGCTTGATGGAGGAAAAAAATCCCCACACATCTGGGGACCAGAAGGGTCAGGAGTGAAGCATCTCTACAAGTAGAAGGGTAGCCGCCCAGGAGGTGGAAAATTGAGTTTTACAAATGTGTGTGCATTTACTTATGTATTGTCTACGGCTGCTTTCATACTAAAATAGTTATGACTGAGACCACATGGCTCAGTAAGCCTTAAATATCTACTATGTGGCCCTTTACAGAAAAAGTTTGCCAACCTCTGTCCTAAGCGCTTTACGATTACTGACTCATTTAATGTTGATAAGCACCCTATAAGGTACATTCAATTATTAGAAGAAATCACCTTATCACCTAGCAAACTAAAGACATTTTGAAGAGGGCTTCACTAGCCTCATAAAGGCATGGAATTAAAAGAGAGTTGAACTCAGAATATCCTGAGATTTCTGCATCCTAACCACTCTGTGGGTAATGAACTCAGAAAAGAAATATCAGAGGAAAAACAAAATCATATCAGAAAGAAAGGCTAAATGACATGTACTCAGGAGAGGATAGTTTCAAATGAACAATTTATAAGGAACGCTGAGGAAAGGTATAAAAACAACCAAGAGAATGAAAATGGGCCACAGGCGAAGAATAAATGATCAAGAGAACATTGTTGAAGAGAAAGACAGCAGAGGAAGAAGAACATTCATGTTACTGTGTCCTGGTAAAGAGATCTGTAAAAGGAAACAAAACTAATATTTAAGATGACAATCCAACAAATCTTTCCATAAGGTTAAAAAAAAAAAAAGCTGAATCTACAAATTGAAAATGTCCACCAGATAGAAGAGAATTTGCCCCAGAATCATCAGTTGTGAGACAAGTCCTTATAAAACTATCAGATTTTCAAGATCAAAAAAAAAAAAAAATCCTCAAGGCCTCTAGGGAAATGAGATGAAATAACTTGCAAAGACAAAAATATTAGACTGGCATCAAATGTCACAAGAACAACTTACAAAGCAAGACAACAGTCGAGCATTTTTAGGAAACAGAGGAGCGTAAGCTAAGGACATCCTATCCAATCCAAATGTGCTTCCTTGAGTCAGGAAGAGATTTTCCTCTACCTTTCTGGGTTCTTCTGGCTCCTCTAAGAATTAAATTGACATGAGATAGATTAATAGGAGAATATCACACAAAGGAAAACTGAGTAACTCACCAAAATGGCCAAAATCCAAACCTTAAATACCATCTTCAGTTAAAGACAAAAGAGAGGGTCTTGGTTCAGGATTTCAAAGGGGAGGAAGGTAATTGACTTGCAGATGGAAAAGCATGTTTGGTAAATAACTATTTGCTGGGCCAGGCAGAGACAATGGGATTCAGAGAGGAATCTGACCTCAAGGCCCTGCCTGAGTTTCCCCCACACCTAGCCCCTGTTCTTTGCATATTCTCCACTGCTGGCTCTATTCCAGGAACAGGTCCTTTCTGTAAATTCTTCAGGCAGCTAAGGGGGAGGTAAAAAGAAAGATTTCCTGAGTATTCTGTTTCTTAATTATTTTCAGCTTGAAATAATCCACATGACAGTGAGACATTTTGGGGGTGATGAATTTTGCCCCGCTGGCACTTGCCATAAGAATTCTTTTTCTGCTGCAAGTTTTCCTTTTGGCCCCTCTAACAAGGCCAGAGTCAAATATTTTAAGAGCTACTGATTTAAGCCTCTCATTTGCCAACTATCATTAAATGAACAGCAGCCCCTTGGATTGCTGTATTCTGAAGAATTCTGAACGTTTCTCTCCAGCAGGAAAGAGCTCCAGGATTCATTCAAGTATCAGTATGGTTTTGGTTGCCAGCAAGAGAAAACTGGAGCAAACTAGATCAATCCATATGGAAAATTATTATTGCATATTAACAAAAAGGGCTGACTTCAGATGAGGCTAATCCAGCCACTCCACAATGCTGCCAATCTTTTTCTGTCTAAGTGCTGCCTGCCACTGGGCCAACTTCATATTGATTCTGGCTCCCTCTGTGATCTTAGGATGACTGTCAGAGTCCTGGGACTTCATGCTTTCTCCTGCATGTTCAGCAGGTTAAAACTGCATCATCTTTATCCCAGTGTTTCTATCTGCAGTCCTGAGATCCACTATGCTTGCTCTAACAGGCATCACAGACACTCTCTGAACCAATGGGAGGTGATGAAAAAGTTTTAACCCAGGTCACATGTGCACCCCTAGAGCAATGTGTTGGATTAGCTACCCCAGAACCACAGATAGGGCTGTTAGAAAGGAGATGTTTAGAGTGGACACTACAGAGGCAACTACAAATGTCTTCTAAAATTAGCAACAACGGCTATAAGCATTGAGGCCAGAGGCAACAGTACCCCAAGTATTTGTCTTCCCTAATCTGAAAGTGAACCTCAGACCATAGTGTGAGGGACAGAAGGTGAGGATGGAGGAGACACAATTGTGCCCAGAAAGAAGGGAGTGCAGAGTGGGCAGGGGAAATTGCTTCGGGCTCCAAGGAATTTCATTGGAAAATCTGATAGCTGGTCCATCTCTTAACCATCACAGGTAAAGTCCCAAGGATTTCCCCCCAACCAGTGGCGGGAAACTGGCAGGTCCCACTCCCCGTCCAGAAGCAGGAGGCAGCAGCCATCCTGTCTGTGGGCAGAACCTACAGGGAGCAAATGCATGGCAGACAGGGGCACACCAGCCCATCCTAGAAGAGCTGCAGTGTCGGGGTGCCCAGCAGAAGCCCTGCCGTGCATGCTAAGATCGCCGTCCGGTGGGCAGCATGGAAGGCCAGCCCAGGGGGAAGAAAAACAGGGCAAGAGAGAAATACAAGAGCTGAAGAAGACAGAGCCGAGGCATGATAAATTCTTCAGACAAAACACTTCTAGAGGGAAGGAAGAAATTGAGTGCTTCATCTTCCTACACTGTTGGTGGGAATGTAGTTTGGTGCAGCCACTATGAAAAACAGTATGGAGGTCCCTTAAAAAACTAAAAATAGAGTTAACATATGATCCAGCAATCCCACTCCTGGGCATATATCTGGAGGGAACTCTAATTTGAAAAGATACATGCGCTCTTCCGGCCTCTTTGCCCTCGGCTGCAGAATCGCGATGACGAAGGGAACGTCATCGTTTGGAAAGCGTCGGAACAAGACCCACACGTTGTGCCGCCGATGTGGCTCTAAGGCCTACCATCTTCAGAAGTCGACCTGTGGCAAATGTGGCTACCCTGCCAAGCGAAAGAGAAAGTATAACTGGAGTGCTAAAGCTAAAAGACGAAATACCACCGGGACCGGTCGAATGAGGCACCTAAAAATTGTATACCGCAGATTCAGGCATGGATTCCGTGAGGGAACGACACCTAAACCCAAGAGGGCAGCTGTTGCAGCATCCAGTTCATCTTGAAGATTTCAGTGATTAGTTGCGCAATAAATGTTCCGGTTTTGAAAAAAAAAAAAAAAGAAAAGAAAAGATACATGCACCCCAATGTTCATGGCAGCACTACTTACAATACCCAAGACGTGGAAACAACCTAAATGCCCATCAGCAGATGATTGGATAATGAAAAATGTGGTATATGTTTTATATATATATATATATATGAATATATATAATGGAATACTACTCAGCCATAAAAAGTCTGAAATAATGCCAATTGCAGCAACATGGATGGACCTGGAGATGATCATCCTAAGTGAAGTAAGTCAGACAGAGAAAGACAAATGTCATATGATATCACTTATATGTGATATCTAAAAAATGACAAAAAATGAACTTATTTACAAAACAGAAAGAAACTCAAAGACAGAAAACAAACTTATGGTTACCAAAGCAGAAAGGGTTGGGGGATAAATTAAGAATTTGGGATTAGCAAATACAACCTACTATACACAGAATAGATGTACAGCAAGGTCCTACTGTATAGCGCAGGGAAATATAGTCAATAACTTGTAATAACCTATAATGGAAAAAAAAATATATATATATATATATGACTGAATCACTATGCTGTACACCAGAAACTAACACAACATTGTACATCAACTCTGCTTCAATAAAAAGAGAGAGAAAGATCCCTTTCATCTCTTATTCTTCCAGGTTCATGACCCCTGGAAGGACTTCTTAAAAACCACAGGTATCTGAGGGCAGATTTCAGTCCTTCGCATTCTGCTTTCTTCCCTCAACTCTAAGGCAAAGCCATTCTCTCAGAACAAATTGCAAGTAGGGGATCCCACCGCATACAAATAGATCAGGAAATTGCTAACCATTGGGAATCTTGTGCTGTATAATCCAGGGGGAAAAACTGCTCATCTCTGACAAAGATTCACTAACATCATGCTGGCTAGCTTTCATTTTCCCTCACCACCATCCTCTCCCCAGTCACTCCTCATCCTCTCCACCCCGCCTTGTGTCCTGGGAGGTGACTGGTACAGACAGCATCAGTAGGGCTTTCTGGATCTTGGTTGGGTCCAGCCAATGGGAACACAACATGAATGGGAAGGAGGTGGGGTGAGACAGAGTCAGGGGGTCCTGCCCTCCCTCCCTCCCTGCCGAGTCCTGGCTGATTCCTGAGATGGAAGCTTGATGCTGGGATCAGGCAGCCTTTGCCACACAAGCCTCTCTCCAGGTTCCAGTAACCAGACCTCCCTTCATCCTGCAGGACTGTACACACATCCTTCAATGTCCATCTCTCCTTTTCAGGTACTACACCATCCCTTGTGGCTTTTTATACTCTGCCAGTTTCAGATTTCACCTGGGAAACTCCAAGTTTGCCAATTAACAGTGACTAGGGTTCAGAGAAGAAGAGTAATGTGCACTCACTGGCATAATCAAAGAAGTCTTCATAGAGGAATTTTGAGAGTTTTAATAATAGAGGTTAACATTTATTGAGAATTTCTTACATCCAGGTCCTGACTCCAGAACCCCCGCTTTGAGTCCCTGTGCGTCACCTGCTAACACCATATGGCAAACACTCTGCGATCTTGTTTTCTGCTCATGTTATTTTAACACAGGACTATTTAGTGTCTCATTTTCAAATATCTCAGGATATACATTCCTTCAATGCAAGCAAGAAGCAGGGCTCCTGGAGGGGAGGGTATAGCTCAAGCGGTAGAGCACATGCTTAGCATGCACTAGGTTCTGGGTTTAATCCCAGTACCTCCTCTAAAAATAAATACATGAACAAACCTAATTATTCCCCCCTCAAAAAAAATTTTTTTAAAGAAAAGAAACAGAATAAACAGAGGAAGAAACAGAAATACAGTCAAACAGTATTGAGATTTCTTTCTTTCTTCTTTGCAATGTACTTCTATCCTGGCAGCATATAGAAACCCAAAGGGAGCTTTGAGCAAAATTTTTTAAAAGCTCTTGCACTGATTTAGTTGATAGTAACTTCACGATGAAACCACAGCAAATTCAGATACGTGAGTCCACAGTTAAGTGACAGAAATCCATCAGAAGACCCTGCGACTGCCAAATTCACAAGATGAAAAGGTCACTGACCAAGAGGGAGCTGAGGTCGGCTCTCACACCAAGTGTGGGAGCCTTTAAGTCCATAACGTAGAAGTAATTGTGCAGAAAAAGTCTATCTTGCCTTTGTTAACCAGCAAAAGCCAAGAGGGGAGAGGTGGTATCTCTCAGTGCCTTCCAGCTCTGATGAATTAAAGGGAAATTTTACTTGGAAAAAAAAAGAAATGTAGGACTAGAACCATAGATGTGACAGAAACATTGACAAATGTTCATACGTTCATTCATAAATCATCCAATGATTGCTAAGTAACTGATGACGTGTTAAGTGCCCAAACACCGGGCTAGATGCTTGGGTGAAAAATGAAGGCAGCATAGTCTCTAATAAAAGCAGCTCACAATATAGAAGCAGATAAAATAATGTGATGCATTTAATCAGAGAGACGGGCACAAGGTGCTACGTGCTACATGAGCACCTGAGGGGACGTAGGGAGGCTGGAGAAATGACACCTATGCTGAGTCTCCAAGTGTCAGTAAGAGTTGCCGGGGAGGGGCTGGGAGCCTCCCCGCAGAGCAGCTACTTGAGTGACAACTGAAAGAGAGCTAGAGAAGCGTTCACACGTTTTCCACAGGCGACTGCTGACAGCTCCTCACTCCCGGGGTGTAAGATGCAGGGCAGGCTTTGGTGCAGAGGAAGCTGGAGAGGCTGATGGGAACCATAACAGAATAGGCTTTGCAGGACTTCTCAGAATGAGGAGCTTATATATATATATATTTTTCCCCCCCCCACTGGCTAGTAGATCTCAAACTTTAGCATGTTTCAGAATCCTCTGATGGGTTTTTTTAAAACCCAGGTTGCTGGGCCCCACCCCTAGAGAGTCTGACTCAGGTGGTCTGGGCTGGAGCCTGAGAATCTGCATGTTTAACAAGCGTTGGTGCTGCTGATGCTGCAGGTGCTGAGACCAAACACCGTGGGCAATGAAGGGACATGCAGGGTTTCAAGCCAGAGGGTGATACATAGGGTGAGCTGTGCTCCTTCAAGCCTCAGGGGGTTCCCCGTGCAGACTGGATGGCACGGGCAAGACCTGCGGGAGGAAGGCCAGTTAGGAGACTATGGCAGGACCACAGCGGGAGCAGGAAGCAGACACACCAAACCAGAATCCTTTCAGTTAGCGATTCCATGTATGTTCCCTGCAGGGCATCACAATGGACAAACCTATGTATTATGTTTGTCGTGACTGGTTCTTTTATTTAGTTGGGGCATCAAAAGTGAGCAGCATTAAAAGAAAATATATTTGAGAGAGAAGAACTGTACACATTTTCTACCCAGAAATGAGACCTACTGATTAAAACCGGAGAACAGAGATTACTCCCCTACCTTGGCTTCCTCGTCCCAGCCTGGCCTGTTTGATGACATAGTAAGAGGTAACGCCTCATTCCCTTCAGAAAGTAAAAGAATTCCTACCCTGAAAGAAGAATGAAAAGCCAGGGCTTGGCATGAGAAAGCAAGGAGTGTAAATAAGTAAGAATGGGAACCAGGGTGAGGTGTGACGGAAGTGGGGGCGAGTGGGCTCAGACACAGTTCCCCGACTCGGACGTCCACCCGCCAAACCACCCCTGCTTCACCACGTGTGTACTAGTTGCCTTTCCCCAAGCTGAGCTGATAGGGGTCCCTCTCCTGGAATCTGAAGATCGTGAGACAGACTGAAAGAGTCTATAAGAAAGTCTTTAGAGCAAAATTCTGCTACTGGGGTCCCCCAGAATCCAGAGGCATCCGGACCCAGGCTTCCCTAGGTCATTCAGAGCACCCTCAATTCTGGGAGGGGTGCCAGTGTTTTACTAGAGAGGGGCTTCATCAGCCATCCGTGGAGAAGACTCTGTCTGTATGTTGTAAATTTCCAAACCACCACTTACCAGTGCTTTTAACATACGGTAAAAGTGAATGAGTATGACTCCAGTCCAATCATAAGAGAAACATCAGACAAATCTCACCTGAGGGATGGTCTATGAATCACCCAGTCAGGCAAACATCAAAACTGTCAAGGTCACCAAAAACAAGCAAAGTCTCAGAGATTATCACAGCCAAGAGGAGTCTAAAAACACACAATAATTGAATGTAATGTGATATCCTAGCTGGGACCCTGGAACAGAAAAAGGACATTGAGTAAAAGCTAGGGAAACCTGAATAACTACGGACTTCAGTAAATAATGATGTGTGAATGTTTGTTCCCTGGTTGTCACAAATGTACCATACTAACGTAATATGTTAGTAATAGGGGAAACTGGGTGTAGGGTGTGTGACAACCCTCTAAACTATTTTTATGGTTTTTCTGTGAATCTCAAACTGTTCTAAAAATAAAATGTATCTTTTTAAAAACTGAATTACTAGAAAAATGAAGTGAAAAAAAAAGATGAACAGAATACAAGCTCAAATTTAATTACCATATTCAGCAGCCATAAAATTAGTTTTATAAATATAAGAACAAACATTACCTAGAGAGAAAAAAAAAGAATAGGAAAATTGTACACTTTGTTTATTGAATGTGTGTGTGTAGGGGAATAAATAATGAGTCACTGATACACTCATAATTTTTTGTCATTTTGCAATTAGGCAAACAAATAGATGTGTATGCAAGTGTGAGTCCCCATATGAAATGTTTAAAATGCGTGCTTTGCAAGAACATCATATTTATCAGAATTAAAGTTCTTAGCATGACAAATGAGCATGCTTTGTGCTCGTTAATATATCTGATTTAGCTTGGATTGATCACCATGATTCTCACTGCTGATAATGTGTATCTAAATTGTTTCCATGCTTTGTTTTAATAACACGGACAGTACAGAAACTTGTCTCACAGCGGTTTGTTGACAGGAGGAGAAGGGATGATTTTTAAAGTAATTTTAGCAAGCTTAGACTATTCATGTCTGGCTTTTATGCGAAATGAAGAAAAGCAATGTTTTATTTTCAAAATTCATGTTTAATCC